GCCCCCCGCGCGGGCCGGGCCCAGGCGGCGGCCCCCGGGGGCGGCGAGGCCTGGCGGTGGCCGCGGCTGTGCGGGTTGTTGGCGCTCTCGAGCGGCAGGAAGTCGGGCGGGGGGTCGGCGCGGGGGGCGCGGTACATGCCGGGCGGGGAGGCCGGGCCGGCCGCGGCGGGGGCGCTCTGCTGCTGCTGCTGCTGCTGCTGTTGTTGCTGCTGCTGCTCCTGCTGCTGCTGCTGCTGCTGGAAGTAGAGGTTGCGGACCCCCTGCGTGGTCTCCCAGATCTGCATCCACAGGCGGTTCGAGGGGCCGAGCTGCTCTGGCTGGAACCAGGCTATCCGGGGATCCATCAAACGGGGACCCACCCCGGCTGATCCGCTCCCCGCGCCGCGCCGGCCGCCGCCGCCGAGACCCTGTCAGCGGGTCCCAGCGCTAATGGCGGCTCCTATGGAAGGGCAGCTCCGCGCCTGCCTGCTCGCTGCTGCCGCCGTCGCTCCACAGCCCCCGCCCCTCCTGGCGAGCGCGGCGAGGCGGGGCCGGGCCGGGAGAGCCGCCGGCACGCGGGCCGCGCGCAGCACGCCCGCGCCCCACGGGGCAGCAGCCGCGCTCCGAGGGCCGAGCGCTCGTTCCGGCCCCGCGGGCGCCCGAGGCTCCGGCCCCGCCGCTGCCAGCGCGCCGGGCTGCGGCTCGGGCACACGGAGAGGTGCGGGCAGAGCCGGAGCAGCGCTGCCCTGGCGGCACACGGACAGCTGCCGCTGCCCCCCCCCCCCCATCCCAAAACTCTTGTGAGGACGCGTAGGGGTAGTTCAGGGTCTTCCTGCCTTCCATTCCGCACCAGAGGAGGGGCAAAGGCAGCCTAGGTGCAGCCTTTTTTGTAGATGGAAAAATACATCACATACACAATACCCCAAACAGCAACAGTGAGTAGTACCAGTTCTTGTCAGACTCGGTTTTATTTTTAGTGTTTTCATACTACAGCCTTAAAACATCTTTAATATCAGCTACAAAGTTTCCAGCATTTTACACGAAGGGCCTGCTGCTTCCCCCACTTGCAGAATTGCATGGCAGATGATTTCCCTTTAGGAAGCTGGAGGTGGAGGGTTTAGAATTAAAAAGTCGCATTCCAATTTCAAGCATTCTGTGAACAGTTTGCAAAGAAGACTTAGCACCATTTCCTGGTGACAAGCAAAGTCTGAAGTTCTGGCTTCTCCCCACCATCCCAGAGCAAAACATACTGTCCTCAGCACTCCTCTGTTATGTCACAGCGTGTCTGATCTGTATAGCCCAAGAGAAAATGAACCACGGCAAGAGGGTGAAATCTGGGGTCGAGCTGACAAACTTAATTGCTTTGAAAATCAGGACCTGCACCTAAAACTACTAGTGAAAGCCAAATGGAAACTGGTGGGACTTGAACATGTCTTGGAATTGGGAAATAACCACTATGAATAACCTTATTTTCCAAACCCCATATTCTTCAGTTATTCTGAGAATTATATATGTAGCAGGAAAAGGTAACAAGAAGAGTCTAAACAATATTCCCTGCACATCAAAAATTCAAATTAAAAAGTTTCAATTAACAAACATTTTTAAAAATGCAATGAAGAAAATTTTAAGTCAAATAAATTATTTTACATTACCCTTAAGAAGGTAACAGCAACCTTCAGGAAAAATAACTGATTTGTTTTCCTTTTTTAATAAAGCTAATTCTGCAAAAAAATCGGTGATTTAGTCTACACTCACAGCACATCAATGTCAACAAGTTTTGTTACAGGACTGAGGTTTATTAATTTACAGGATTCCTCAGTAGCAACCCTAGTCCCAAGCAAATATAGCCAAGATACAATACAGGTGGTGTAGTAACACAAATGCTTTAAATTAGCAAGTATGCCATGGGGGGCATAAAAAACAAAACCCACACTTTAATATGGTCAAATTGGGGTTTTTTTGATCACTGGTTTGAATTTTAACACTTTTATTTATGAAAAAGGGAACTTCCCAGGAAAGGCTATCTGGAAACATCATGCATTTACTAGCTGAATCAGCCATTCTTCCATGAGTTTTTGGAAGTGCTTTTCACTCTCCATTTGAAGGGGCAGAGAGGAGGGAAGAGGCTAATGCAATATTCCTTAAAAGTTGAAAAAAATTCACGTCAGAGGAGAAATGGGATTTTTATCATAGCAGGAACAGAAAACCAGGAGAAGCTTTACTGAAAGCCCAAGACATCTTTCAGCATGGTGCAGGGATTTATCTGAGCACCTCATAATGCCAGGGCAGCATCAGGACCCTCACTGCTGAGAACACACAGCAGCCACAACCCAAGAGCCAACAGATTATTACCCTGGGATCTTACTTCAGCTCCCAAATAGTTTGATTAAAATCCATAATGTAACAGTAATGCCAGGAGCTCCTGGCACCCACATTCAAAAGAAAAAAGCAAGTTCCTACATCCTCCCGTGTGCAAAGCTCCAATTAGGCTTTATGTGGTTACTGAGTTATGTCTGTATGTTTGACAAAATGACTCTCACAGAGAGAAGAAACTTACAGAAATTATACAGAAACAAAATGAAATTTAAGTGAATTTACTTAAATGCTTTCAATTTTTTCCCAGAAGGTACAAAAAAATAAGTTTTAAAATATCTGAAATCAGACCGAAAAACCCCCCACCACTCAAATAAAAGCTTCTTCAAACAGAAATGCTCACCGTGTGTCAGCCCTGGTGGAAAAACTTCAAGCGCCTTCATTTGCTGTCTGAGACCCCAGATTTTGCCAATTATTCTAAAGTTATATATCTTAACAGCTTGTCCAGAACAAACAATATATAGATTGTTTGCTCAAGTCACTTGTGCCAGAAAGGAACAATTACATTATTTTCAATCACCACTACCATTGCCTGAATTGCAATTTGCAACAGTAAATGCAAGGCTAGATGTTTCCATCCAATCCTCAGGAATGTTTTTATTGAAAATCCCTCACTAAGGAAACAGAACTTGAGTTTATGGACATTTTTGGTTGGTTGTTTTATGTTAATATTCCACAAGATATTAATTTAATTTGTAATACTTAAAATGCAAACTGATTTTAAATTTATTAGTTCTCCTACGCAGTTCTCATTTTGTAATTTTACTGTGCCCTCATTTTTTTTTCATATTTGTCTCTCAAAATGCAAACATCAAACCAAGCCAAGTACTACTGGTTGAAGTTATTCCTGTTCCTCTAGGAAGGCATCTTCAAAAAAAAGCAAAAAAAAGCCCATACTGTGCAAAAAATTACCTTCAACACACACCATAACCCCCAGAAAGTTAGACTATGGGCTTGACTGTGGTATACAGCCATCTTCTGCTTCTGAATGTCAAGGCATGATGTATAAACACCAAATATACATTTAAATCTTGCCACTTGTTTCTTTTCATAGAGAGCAAGAATTAAATCACACAAGTGATAATTCCTTATTTCCACAGCTGGGAATTCGACATTTTGCAAGCAGCAGAAATTGTCAGTGGTCCTGCTGCTCCTGAACAGGGCAGGGGACCCACAGCCTCCTTCACACTCTACTTGACACCAGAGCAAGGTAAATTCAGCACCTATTTTGGTATTACAGCTCAGCTCAGAGCCAGTTTGCCGTGCTCAGCATCAGGCAGGGACACAAGCAGAGCAGCAATCCATACCTTCCAAGGACTGTGGCTTTTAACTGAAGCAGACAGATGATGCCTTAGGGACCAGAATAAGCAACCCAATTCAGATACCTGTTTTGATAGCAGTCTTATCTGTGCGATTAGATCAACTGATGAAGATCACTTACATATATTTAGTATCTATTTAGTTATGCTACACACTGTCTACATCAGTCCAATTTCTGCCATCAAGATCCATCTTCCCCTTTGTAGGCTGTAAAGGATCTTGTCTTTGTCTGAAGCTTACCCTAGACCTATTAAATAAACCAGTGTTCAAAGACCCCCAAAACATTTAATTTTCACATTATCATCACTTCTGCTGCTGCCTTGATTTTCCTTAGTTGTGTCAGAACAACTTTTGTAGCCCCAATCTTGTAGCTTAGCTCTTTTGTGCCAGTGTATCTCACCTGGTTTTAGTCCCTGATTTGATGCCTTCTTTAAATCACTCATAACTTGCTTTGTCTTCCATAGATGCATTAATATTGCATCTTTAAGTGATATGGTTTGTACTATGCACCAATCTTATTGTGAAAATATTTTTTCAATACGTTCAGCTGATCAGTGCATAGCAAAAAAAATAATCAGTGTCTTCCTACTGCCAGAATAGTTTAAGACCTAAATGTCAGTCTGTTTTTTCACTTGAAGAAAAAAAACCAGTCTAACTGATTATATTAGGAAAACCATGTTTCTAATGGATGCCCTATCTTCTGTATATTTACCTGCAACTGCCAGATTTGTATTTGCAGATTAAATGTTTCTTGTTATCAACCTAATGATATTATCAATAACCTAAAAGAAAAACCGAAAACAAAAACTTAAATACTTTGGTTTTCTAATGGTCCCCAGGAAAAATTCTGGCTGCTACACTTGTAAAATGCAAACTCCTACATTTGGGACAGTGCTCTTGACTAAATGACCAAAGGACAGCTTTGGAGAGAAGGACCAAAGGGTCCTGGTGGACAGTAAGCTGAAGCCAGCAGAGCACCCTTGAAGTGACAACAGCTACCAAATAACAGGCTGTGCTGGCAGAAGCATGGCCAGCAGGACAAGAAAACCAATTACTTGCCTCTATTCAGCACCTAGGAGATCACATCTGGAGTAGTGTGTCCAGTTTTGGGCCCTCAGTACAAGACACAGCAGAGCAGGTCAAGCAGAAGGCCACTAAGATGGTTGGAGGGTGAGAGGGCATACAAGGAACAGCTGAGGGAGCTGGTTTTATTTGGCTTGGAGAAGAGGGAAATACAATTGCTGTTTTCAGCTGCCAAGTGGGGGTTAGGAGATGGAGCCAGGCTCTTCTTGGTCGTGTGCAGTCAAAGGACAAGAGGCACATTTTGCAGCAGGGGAGAGTCCTACAAGGCACAAGGGAAAAAGGCAAAAAATGTGTCTCCAGTGAGAGAGGTCAAGCTCTGGAAAAGGCTGTCCAGAGTTGTAGAATTTCCATTCTGGGAGATGTTCAAGGCCTAGTACAATCTGTCTCCCAAGTCAGCCCTGCTTTGATCAGAGGACTAGACTAAGAGACCTCCAGAGATCCCTTCCAATCTAGAACATCTGCAATTCAATGTAGCAACCAGAAAATGAGAGCAGAACTTTCCACGTGGAAGTCCTTTAAGTGCTCCAAACAAATACTAATACCTTTCATCAGGCTAACAGTACACTATCCTCAGTGTACAGCAAGTATAACTAACACCAGGGTTAAAATCCACACACTGTAGGGTATTATGCCATAATCCACCTCTCCTCAGCTGTTACACTGCAGACCTCTTCAATGCCTGCTTTGCCAAATCCTGAATAACCTTTCAACTGCCCCATGCTTTTGACTTCTAGTTTTTTCTAGTCCAGCCTCAAAGGCCCTTGAGCCCTCCCAGTCCCACCTTCTCACTCCTTTGAGTGGCAGGCATCACATCACACATTTCATCTGACTCCTGTAAAGCAACAGCAGCAACAGCATTTCCAGGCAGTACAGCTGCTTAAACTCATCTTTCCTTCCTCTTGCAACTGACAAAATACCTTGTCAGGATTTCATAAAGTCAGTCATTTCAAGTTACCAGTCAGTTCTGAAGTCTACTTTTCTTTTAAAGACTGAAATCTAACCAAGCAAATTTGGTCTTTTTAAGTTCCATGCTTTTAACATGGGAAAAATTTTGCCAAAAACTGGATGTCTGAGCTAAGGCAGCACATTGAGAGAGAAGAAAAAAACCTCCCATTTCAAAAACCAGCAAAACAAAATGCTTTTGTGTTTAGTTGTGGGGTTTTTTCTTGAAAAATGTGTATGAGAGGATCTCATTCACAGAAACAAAACCAAAGCTTCTGATATATGGAAAATATCATACAATTTGCATGAAGCAAATTGTATTTTTAAAAAATTTTTTTAAAAATTGCATTTTTAAAAAATATGTTCTGTATTTTACAGCTTAAAAATCTCCACCACAAATATTTGCAAAAGGTATTTTACGCAAATATAAATTTACTTCAGGTAATACCTCAGTATAAAAAAATACTTTCTGTTATGTTTACTACTTCCCAGAATTCAAACTTGTGATGATGTAGAATTACAAGGAAGACTGTAAAATAGGAGACTTCATTTCCAGAAATACCAATCAAAATAAAGACAGGGCGCTGTGTCTAAGTGTAGAATCTGCTTACACTGATTTTCACAGCAAAAAGCTATCATACTTTTAATTTATCATAAATGAATCTGAAAATTTTCTCCTCGTGAACCTCATGAAATAACAGATCCAAGTGTTGACTGGAATCTACACATTTGTCACATACTTCTTTTGGGAAGTCTGCCAGAAGTGCCTGTGCAATTCTAGGAACAGGTAAGAGCAAATAGCAAATATAAACATTCTCCCACTGCTCCATTCCCTGAAATAGACCTTGAGCTTTTACTTTTTTTATTTTTCCCAATCTGTCACCTGACCAAGAATATTTTCAGAATTTCTTTTTCACACAAGTGTAGTTTTCTGCCAGGGTACATGAAGCTATCCAGGCAATGATAGTGGTGCTATGTACAGACCTCAGGACCTGAAGAGCACCTTCTTACCACTCCAACAATCTCAGGGTATGCTGAGATTGGGTTTTTTATGCTGGTATGTCCTTCGTATTGTATCAACCCAAAAGTATAAAAATACTGAATGTTATAAAACGTAGCATTAACATCAAAGCAAAACTGCTCTGCTCAGTAAAGGTTGGAAGTTGAAAAGAGTTATATTTTTTTAAAACATGACTCAATAAGAAAAACCTTAAAAGTTCCTCGATGTTTCAAGTTGGGGTTTTCCCTAGTGTCTCCTGATATGCAATGAATCTTCTCAAATTCATCTTCACATTGTCAAGAACACACAGTTGATCTGTACTATATTGTCCTTTGCCTTCTTTTCGCATCTGTAAAACCAAAAGAACACATAGTTTACTCCTGGAGAAGTTTCTCCTACCAGATCACCTCAAGTTTACTGTAGTTCTGTATGGTGGTGTTCTAGGAGAACTCCAAGGTGCTCCCGTGTGCACATGTGGAGCTCAGCAATTATTTCTGCAAGTCAATTTACTATAATGCACTGCTGTCTAAAACTAGACTAATGGCACATTATTTCATCCCAAAATCTGAGACATACACTTCTTCTCTGTGGATTTTTAGATGGAAAACCTTGCACATTTAACCTAACAACTGAAGCAGCATCAGGTATGTACTTTGTGTGTACAGTGCTTGGCTTTTGGGCTACAGAAGTCACTCCTCAGGCTGCATCTGACCAAAGAAACATTGTGTGGAAGGTCATTCTCTGTTTAAGTCTAGGATGTACCTAAAATTACAATTTAGAATGCCAGCCTTGTTATTCTTGAAAATACAGGATACATGAACTGTTTTAATTAACCAAGAATGGAACAAAAACATCCAACTGCTACTGCAAGTTAAAAACCAAAGATGTCAATGTAACTTCAGAAAGGACTTTTCTTCCACCTCCAGAGACATCGGCAGGATGTTTTGTACAACTGTTTCAGAACAATACAGTAATTTGGACATCAGTAATACTGATGGTGTAATGCAGATGTTGCAATTCAGGTGCTGCACAGTTACTTGACACATCCATGAATTTTAAGGTACTTGCTTTCCTCTGAACTGGAGTATCAGAAAATCAAATGCTTTTTTTCCGTCACCTTATAAAGTAAGTGTATCTTCTAGGAGCCCAAAACTCAACCTTTAACCCACTTTGTGTGCTGAGACCCTGAGCAGGCTGCCCTTGATGCCTACCCTCATTCTGAACACTGGCTGAAATTCCTTCAGTGTTGGAAGCAACCTGATCTGTAACGCTGCCCTTTCTGCTTCTTCGCCATCTGCAAATACATCAAAAAGTGCATCCAAGGCTTCCCCTGCTACCACAAGAGAAGATTCCTTCACAGCAACCTCAAGAAGAAATTTTCCAATCATCTGTAATGAGAAAGAAGAATTGATTTTTCCAGCAATGTTAAAGAAAATTGAAAGAAACATCAAAATTCTTTTAAGCCTGCAATGCAAAGTTTGCTTTTTCACCTTCAGTGTTTCAGCTGTATCTTGTCCTTTTGCCAGGACACTGCCAGAAATTCCAAGGATGCTCACCACGTTCACTCTAACACTGGCATTGCTGCTTTGAATACCAGCCTCACATAAAGCCAGTAGCTGCTCGGGAGTCATACACTGCTCAGCAAGGGGAAAGGAGGGAAAGAAGGAAGACACACATGGTTACATTTTCATGGAAATTTTGAAATATGACATTTAGACACTGTACTTTTACAGAACACAGGCAAATTCTTAACAGAGTCCTAGATTATGAAAACTTTTAAGAATTCTGAAAATGCAATTACGAAGAAATTTCAATTCCCTTTCAACTTGGTTCTTCCAGAACATATCCAAGGCTGACATGAAGTTGAAGGAAAAGTTCTGAGATTTTCACAAATTTATCTAGCTCAATAGCTGCTTCCAACTCATTACAACTTACAGTATAAAAGCTCAGTTCTCAGTTTAAGGCCAGAAAGATTAGCAGACTATCTAGTATTGTGTCTTCTATACCAAATTATTATGCTTCATTCCTGTATTCAACTAATTCATATCCAACTAAGATTCAAAGACCACCAGCTAGGTGACATCAGGAAATAAAGAAGCCACATTTCTAGGTGCTAATTTTCTATATATTTGTCATTATAATTATCTTCTAAAGATACCTGTGGCTTATTGCTATTCTGGTTTTGAAATACTTTTCATCTGTTTTCATGTTGAGGAGATATATTAAAAAAATATTCCTGTAAGGTCCATGAAAAATACAGTTAATGATATTAATCTGTTCTTCCAGAGCTCACAACTGCTGAAATTTTGAACTAAATTTATATTGTTTTGTTTCAAAAACTTTCCAGCCCATCCTCACAGGAATTTGAAATACCAGAGCATTTGAGTTTGAAAGCTTTTACCTGGGAGATGTTCTTTGATGCCATTGTTTGTAGAAGAGCCCTCAAAGCACTGGTTACAGCTTCCAGGAATTCTGTGTCTGTAGGGAGTTCTGTCAAAGAACAGAACCCAGAGCCAGAAGTTAAACAGAAATATGAGGGACACAGGAAGCAAAGAAATACAAATTCCTTAATCTCTTAATTGCTCCTCCAGGTACTACCACAACAGGAAAATCTAGATTTTCAGAGACTGGTCTCTGTAGGTTGTAACCATAGTGATTTTTTTGAATTCAGCATTGACTGCATCTGGAGGTTAGAACACAGCTGGGCCTCCTTTCCAGGCACATCCCTGGTTAAGACTTAAGGGACAGTGCCAGCCACTGTCACCAGAACAGCAGGTGAAAACTGGTATTACATGGAGGCCACAATACAGGAACCGAGAAAACTGCAGAAGCTGACTGCATACTTCACCTCCTTTCTTCTGCCTTCTTAAGCAAGCTTTTCAGACACCCAGAACACTGGACTCTTTCCAATTCATATAAAGAGCATGTTTTCCGGTGGTTTAATAACATTCCAGGAATGTATGACTCAAACACTGCATTATTCTTGTTTAACTACAAACTCATCAGTAGCAGCCATCACCTTCAATCTGTGTTCTGCATTTCTTGAGGCTTTTCATTTTCCTCTTAATGGGTTTATTTTCTGCACCACTCCAGATGCAGAACTTCTTGATTTATGTGCATCTCCTCCCTTCTCATGTAAACAATCAGATCTTTATGCCTCTCTTTAACCCTGTAAACCACAGAATTCCTTCTAACCACATGCTGGTATGTTATCAGCTCTATCTGGCAGTTTTCATTACACAGCATTTAAACATGAAAAAACGGGCCTGTGCCAATTAATTAATTTTAGCATGCTTAGCTGTCTTCAGATAGAAACTTCTCCAGCTTCATCTGATAGCTTTCTATTACAAAGTATAAGATGCAGACCCAAAATATTGGAAGTTCTCTCTTCAAGCATGAGACATATTTTATGTGAACTTCCTTGGATATGTTTTCATAGATATTTTCATTTCTGCATTTTAGTTTTCCACACACTGCACTCAGTAATAATGCTCCCATAGACTAATCATGTCTTTAAAGACATTGAGAAAAAAGTGTGTTTTGCAGGCAGATGCATTTTCAAGCACTAATGCAGTGCCATTTTATACACCACAGCAGAGCACTACATAAGCTACATCTATGGCTACAAATGGAGACACTTGAAGGAAGGGAAGGAAACTAAACTTCTTGAGCTTCTAAGAGATGAGAAATGACAAAGCCACACATATGCCAGACTTCAACAGAACTGTCTTAGGGAAAACGTTTTCTGACAGTTTGGAGAATTGGCAGCTTTTCCAGGCTCTAAGAATCGCTCTTATTTTTTGAAGACCCATCACCACTGACCTTAAAGCAAGATTATCAGAATAGTCTGAAGGATACAGCCTGTCAGGGACCCACATCCTCAGTTTGGAAACAGGTGGGCTTTTCTTAAAACTTTTTTTTTTTCCCAATCTTGGTTCAGCTTCTTTCATGTCAGTAAAAGAGAGGTCATAGCATAAATGATCCAAGAGGATTGTGGAAATGATGCTGCTCTCATGTATAGGGATCCCAGAAAGCAGCTGGAATGCTGGAATCCAGTAACACTGTACTAGCAGATGTATGGGGTGACCTTCACAGTATGTCTATGTAATAATGCACCCTGGAGGAACTACAGTGAAGACATTCTAGTGTTTATCACAGAACCTGTGAGGCTGGGAAAGACCTCTGAGACCAGTCCAATCTGTGACTGATCACTGCCATGTCAACCAGACCCTGGCACTGAGTGCCACGTCCAGTCTGTCCTTAAACATCTCCAGGGATGGTGACTCCACAGCCTCCCTGGGCAGCCCACTCCACTGTCTAAATACAGATCTAAGATATACATATATACACACACACACACACAGATATATATACATATATACAAATATATATACATATATATAAATACATACACATATATATATTTTCTAAAATAGTAATTTTTGGAAGAACTAAATTTATTACCTTCTCTGTTGAAATTGAAGCACAACCAGAACAGGCAGCTTTAACACTTAGTTGTAATAACTTTGCACACTTTCTCACTACAAATATAATTCCAATAAAGATAAGCCATCATAAACATAAAACACATCCTGGGGACAAGGTGGCTGCTCTCCTTTCTAATGTAATAAGCATGAACATTCTTGAGATTTTTGCACCAATTGCTTCTGCCATAATTTGGTAAGATTACTAGGAAAAATGATGTGAAAGACTGTGCTAGACATGTTTTGTTTTCACATCTCCTTAGGCTAGTTACGCATTTAAAAAGAAAATGTCCCTTCTTCTTCATGCTTGTCTGATTGCTCAAAAACTGGTATTACCACAAATACCATCAAACAAACAGTTCTGGTCTCCCAACAAGGCAGTAGTAATCCACTCAGGAGCTTTCTGTGTAGACCCAAACATGAAGCAGATTCTTGCACTACGAGCAGACTTGCTCAAGGTGCAGTTTGGATAAACATATCTAAACAGGATACACTGTCGTGTCAGTACATGGCCAACATTCAGTATCCTTATCTTGAAGGACCAGAGGGATAAAGTTAGTAATAAACAGCATGGGAACATGGCTACCTTATATCTAGATGATCAGCAAAGGGGGTCAGCAAGTCCCCTTTACTAAACATCTTACCTGTTTTAGAAAAGATCAGCTGTGAGAGATGCTGTGCAAGCGACTGAAGGGCTGAAGCTCCCCCAAGACAATCCACATCTGACACCAACAAAATGCTCTGAAGACACGTTAAAGCTCTACACTGCACTGCATTCAGTCTGAAACAAACAAAAAACACACTGAGCAGGTATTTTTGAACACACCTGTTGAAATATTAAGAAGAATCTTGAATTTAATAAGGCTGTGATCCAGTATGCAGCTCACAAACATTTGTGTCTCTTTTTTCAAAATCATATATCAGATTTGCCAGTTTACAGATCTTAAGAGCAGCTCAAAGATGGACAATCCTTCTAATAGTTCTAAAACAACTGAATATACATGAAAAATAGTAAGAGAGACAATGAAATGCCTACTTTTTAATTAATGGTTTCCAAGATGGATTGTGCGTACAGATGCCTAGAGCAACACTGTTCGGAAAAGCAGTTTTTTCCAGAATCTGAGGAGGGGAAAAAGAAAGGTTTATCAATAAAGCCCTTTTTTCTTTTCTTTTTTTTCTTTTTTTGGTTATAGTGTGTTCATAGGGAAGACTGAAATTTTAGCTTAATGTCAAACAGATAGTTCAAACTACATACTTCAAAGTTTTCCAGATAGCAAATGTCTCGCCTGCTAGAAATCCCACAATTTTCCTCTATCACTTAAATGGTGCAATTATACACTGGGTTTAGCATAAAGTATTTTCTCTTCAACTGTACTAACAAGAGGTGATTTTCTAGGTCTCTGCTATTCTTTCTTATTTAGCTCTTTCTTCTTATAGATTCTGCTACAGTATTTTCAGATAGCTGGAAGTCTGGAAGGCCTTGCCATGAAACTCTGGCTATTAAGTACAAAAAGCCCTCCAAGTTTTCACCTCACACCTTGATGTCTTAGCTCAGAATTCTACAATGCTGCTGAGCTAACACAGTAACTGATTCAAATAACAAACTTCACCGTTACAACCCCAAATAAAAATGAGCAAAACAACTCTGAAACAAAAACATCTGATTTCCTGTCAGTGCCAAATACTGTATTTCAGACATTTGTACAAAACAGGGGGAGAGGAACTTGCACTTTTTCAGTGCTGACTGTTGCCATTCATTAATGTTATTTCCACCTCATTTAGCTAATACAGAAATCTGGCTGTCACGCTTCAGCCAAGTTTCCTTTCTTTCTGTGGGTAATCTTTTTCATGTCCAAACTGAGGAATAACAACCTTTGTATTTTGGGGGGAAAATATTTTAGAAAGACCTACCAGATTTCTGATTTCTGTTCTCATTTACATGAGCAAATTATTTATTTGCAAGGATGCACCACCTCTAGGCAAAAAAAGTGAGGCCAAACTTACTTAAAAAAATGCTCCCTTCCTCCAGGTGGATTGGAACAATTTGTTTGTCTAATCTGGGATACAAAGCAGGAACAAGGGAAAGACTTGTTCTGGAAATAATACAGAAGACAACACCTTCTTTGGAATGAGGTTGTTCAGAAATGCTGAGTTAACTTCATCAGAGAGGCACAGGGGTGACAGCAGCAGCCCACTCCCCTCGTTGTACGAGTTTTCCATGAACAAGTCACTCTCATCACTGCTGGACAGTTCTTCCCACTCATCATCAGAGGGATCTGAGAACACAAGACAGATTTGTAAATGTAACAGCCCATATGCAACAGCTATCCTATCTCCCAATTGAAACTGGCTTCTCCAAACACCTTGGTTAAGGAATCTTGAAGTTCTTGGTCTCTAACAAACTCCTCACAAACCAAATGCCATTAAGCAACAGTTCTAAATATTTTGTTAAAAATATTTTATACTCACTGAGGCACAAATATTCTTATGAGAGGTTCTTCATATGTGGGCACGTTAATCTGTGATATTAATGTGTTGTTTAAAAACATCAAAAAAGGTATAGAAGAAATATTTCATAAAGATGTACGAAGATTTTAACTTAGGTTGTACCACTTCATTTTCTGAGGTTGATTCAAGCATGCAAATACACGAGTTTAACTTAACTTGTTTACTAACTGCAGTCAGTTTAAGGCAATTGTTTCCTGTGGCAATACTGAAGGCACAGACAGATGTCCTCTGCCTGGGCAATAATTGGGCTGGATGAAGATGTTACTGTCTCCACAGCAAGGTCAGTTGAAACAAAAGGATGACAGCAAAGAAAGCCAAATAATCTCTGATAGTCATTTCAAGCAACACATTTCACATAAATTAAACTAGTTTTATAACCTTAAACCTGAACTAGGGTCATACTTACATGACTTTTTCTACTAGCAGATTTAAGGGCAGATATGGTGAGAGGAGTCGAAGTTCTATTACCAACAGGCTACTGTGTGAATAATCTCTCCACAGCTGAAGGGGGACTGGCAAGCACAAACTAAAATCACCCTCATTTATATTTGAACTCATATATCTACATCCACAGAGTTTGCACTCATTTAGCTGAAGTTTCTTTAAATCTGGTTACATTTTAACTAATGTTTACCCAAGTCCTAAGTCTACAGGTTGGACTGATCCTTCTTTCCAACAGATGAAAGCTCCGTGTACATAGGTCAGGGTATTTAACTACTGTGACAAAAAAAAAAACCACCTATCATATTGATCCCCAAGTAATTTTGTTTGACAACCCAGATTCTCATGAGATGTATGTCCTGTAGTAACTACAGGAACAGCCATGCACTTCTGTGGCCAAAGGTAAATTCACTAAAAATACAGCAACAAAGATCCAAATGAATGCATTTCACTCGCACTGTGCAAGTTTAAGAATTTATTTGAAGATGATGGTTATGGTTTATCAGATGTGTAAAGGTGTGTAAAGATGGCAAGGTGTGGCAACTTGACCACACAGGCATCTTATGGTAATATCCAATTAATTCTACAGCCACAACTTGCTGGTGTTAATAGCCTTTGCATGAGAAAATGGTTGTCTTTCATGCTTTACTAAACCATAGCAGCAAGAAACATGAAAGCAAAGCAGGACATCCCCTTTTCAGTCTCCTGCCTCTTCTAAAAAATTTTGCATCTTTAGAAAACAAAGAAAGCAAAAAACATCCTTCAAAACTAATTGATAACAATACAAGCTGACAATGCAATTCAGCAATAACAAAGACAGCAGTTGTCATAAGTTGACAGCGAGTGACCAGGGCAGAGCAAGAACTGAGACCTAGAACACTGGCCCATAACTATGATCAGGTTTCTTCTAATGTTCTGGGAAACAGAGGCATTTCCAGCAGCAATCCCATCTTACCTAGCACTGGTGACCCAAGAACTACAGACTGGAGAGCAGTGCTGGAGTGTCTTGGCTTCTTGCCCAGGTGCCCATCAAAGGGGAGCACTCTGCTCCTTCCAAGCACTGGCCAGTGCTCACTACAACGCATCCCTCACCAGCCTGGTTATTTCTCTCAGCTCTGTTGCAAGCTGAGTGTTTTTATGAACTCAGCATAATGGCTAAAGCTATTTTAGTCCTCAAATAATTTGAAAATTAAATGAACAGATGCCTCTGGATTCCTCCTAATTTCTAGAGACTGTCTGCCCACGAATGGGTAAAGTACTGTAGCAAAATACAACACAATCAATCTTACATTACACTGAGTGAATGGCAGAATATGCAGCTTATCCACAAGAGATTTTCCAATTAAAGGGGAAAGCTTATGAATTACAGCTCATTAGATGAGAAATGCAGTTATGAAAGGAGCTTCATACACTAGGTGCAGAATTTCCTTGTGCTGTAAGAGGAAAAAAAAATTACCATTGGGAATTACATACAGGTGTTACTGTGGATTTTATAAGAACCTGAACATTTTACTCAGTTACTTTCTACACAATTACTCCTGCATCAGGCTAAAGCTACAATAGCAGTCAAAGTTTTCAGGTTTTGGAGGATTTAGGGGATTAGTTTTGTTTGTTTGTTGTTTTTATGAAACAGAATTTGATAATCTCTCATTTGTTTTCCTGAAGATTAAAAGAAAAACTATCAACACAGAGTTTCAGAGTTCATAAAAGATACAGAATATCTATATCCTACTCCCCTCCAAATAACAGTCTCTCTTTCTCCTCCTCCTCATGGCTCATAAAGGCAGAACTCTGGAAGCCAAGATCTACATTGTTGCCACAGTTTCCTGCAAAAGCTGTCCCTACTCCTAATTTTGCAACACTTGTAGTATCAAAACTAAATCAAAGCTATAAGATTCATCTGCTTTACAAAATTTGATGCCCCCATGCTGCAATCAGATTCACACACATCTTGCATCAGAAGAAGTCAGACCTCACTCTAACAAAGATTTTGCTGCAACACTTTAGGAAATATCTCTCTGGCATGAGTGCTTTTTGTTTGTTCTTAAATGTTGGCACATGCAGTATCATGCAAAAAAAAAAAATTAAGCAACAAATGCAGTATCATGCAAAAAAAAAAAAAAAAAATTTAAGCAACATAAGTCACTTAAACTAAGGAAAAACAATTAAATTAGTAATAGAAATGACAACCCACTTTGCTGCCAGATGAGGATATCAGGGACAGTATGCCCAGGGGCATTTGCCCTTAGAAACCTTAGATGAGCAAAGAGCAAATTAAAGGTGACCTATTCAGAAACAAAACACACCACAGCACTTGCAATGAACGAGACTCCTACAAACCTTCACTGCAGCACATATTAACAATGATTTCCAGAGCAGTCTGCTGGGCCGTCAGTAAAGCTGTCACTTCTTTCAGTTCCCACTTATCAGACTAAAAAATTAAAAACATGAACCAAATTTGATTTTGGAAAACAACATTTAAGTGCCATTTAAAGTATCCAAGCTGTCAGTTAAAAATACAGTCCCAGCCATTTCCTCTTCTCAGTCTACACCCAAGCTTGAAAAAAAACCCCAAACACAAACCCAAGCAGTGTTATCTACCATCTTTTTGTTGGATGTTCCAGAGCAAATTTTATTCTCAAGAAATGCCACTTGCACTAAAGCTGTCCAAAAGCCAGTCAGCCACACTTACTGGAAGTAAATCTGAAACGTCATTTTCTCTTCTGAGTTTTCCTTTTGGTATTTCTTCCATGTTATCATCTTCACTCAAAACACAGTTTTCTGCAGTATCACTCATGTTTTCTTCAGTTTCTGCTTCCACAGCAAGTTTTAACCTATTTTTCTCAGCTTCATTCATACGAATAATTGTTTCACCAGCATCTATTGCCAATGATTCTGAAAATATCTTCAGGATTGCATTAACTGTGCTTCCCAGGCTGCCTGGTGGAATGGTATCCTTTATATTCCAGATAGTGCCTAAATATGAGGTAACCAAATTATACAAAATTATTTAAGTGCTCAATTCCCACCACTGTAATAGCCATTTTGTAAGGACACAGCCTCCACTACTTAAAATACTCAGTGCTTATATTCCCTATAAAATGTTCAAGCCTTTTCTCTACAGATTTTTTTTTTTGCATAACATTTTGTAACTAATCTGTAATAATTGCTATGCCCACATCTTAAGCTCAAGTAAATTTCAGCATGTAAACATTTACAGAATATTTATGTGGAATGACCTTGGTGTCACTCTGTACACCTGAGATAACAAATCAACATGGAGAATCATTTTCTAAGGAGCCTCAAAATTAATTTATTACACTCCAGTATCAAAAATCATCATGGTTAAACATTTGAGGTAACAAGAAGAATTCAAGGTAGAGAACCTGAGGTAAAAAAAACTTACAGCTAGTAAGATCAGAACAACTCCTGTACCACTTGTTGACACATTTAACTGTTAAAACCTAAATGAGCAGTTAAAGTGGGCTATCACACTGAGCAGGGGCTGAATTCAGAATCAAGCATTTAAGCCAGTTTTAAAACTAGTTGCAAATACCTACTTGCAGTTCCAAAAGGCAGATATAACCTCACCAACCATCTGTACACCTCGACAATCAGATGTCCAGACCACAGCAGAGAAGACAAAGGCTTCTGTCCTTCCCAGCCTCCTTTACCTGCCATGCTCCCCATCTCAAAGCAATGAACTCCCTTGAGCACTGTACCTGCTATCAGTGTTCTCAGAAGGATGTGCTTCATGGTGCTCTCTGGACTCAACATCACTGTTTCCAGTATTTGCTGTGCAGAAGCATTAAATGAAGAAAGAAGATCTGGATTATCTTCTGTCACTGCCTGCAAGCAGTTTGCTGCAGCAAACAACAAGAGCAAACGTAATTAACAAACCCAATAGTAGCTTTTGCTCTGCTAATGAGAAAGCATTATCTTCCTGGAAGCTGGAGCAATGAAATGCTGACACAGGAAAAAAATTTCATGCAGCATCATGTTGTAATAGTCTGACACTGTCCTTCACAAGCTGTGTTTTGGATTAAAAGACATTCTGGGGCAAACCCATACATAAAACAGATGAGAAAACAGAAACAGATACCACATCAGCCATGGAACTGGTTGTATTAATTTGAGCTACTCAAATTCAAATTTATCCATTATATACTGACAATGGACAACATAAAAAAATGCTGGAAGCACACATACCTGTATGACCATTATGAAACTATAAGAACAGTAAGACTGATAAAACCAGACTGAAAGTGATTGGAATTGTTTGGGGTTTTTTTAGAAGGACTGTCTCCTCTGCTCAACAAATTAAACCCTCCATTACCAAAACATGAAAACAAAATGAAAAACACAGCCTCCCTCTAAAGCCCTCTTCCCACAAAATTTTTCTTCCCATGTAACCACCAATAAGCCATTCTCTTTTGGACTGAAAACATGCACAACAGATGTCAACTTCTTTATTTTGTGCTAACCAAAAATTAATTTACAGTCTTACACTCAGTGCAAAATTAAGCAATGCTAAAGCAGGTCCATTATGCAATGAATACAGTATCAGTGTTACATTCACACAATTAAAAAAAAAAAAAGAAAGAAAAAGGTATCTTTAAAGCCTTATCTTCTCTTTTTACCACTTACCTACTGAAATAGCCAGATCCACATTTGTGGCAAATTTCTTCATGTAATGTAAGACAGCCTCCAGACATCCTTCTTTATTGAATATGTATAGGGCAGTATTGTTGCATTCACTAATGGATGGAAAAGATCAGTCAAACATTTTTGCAGGAAAAAAACTCCTGTGGGAACAACCTAAGCACCCCATACTTGTTATTACTCACATTTTTAAAACAAACCTAAGAATTATGCATTAGTCAAAGAGCTATCCTTCATTATTGAGGTTATGATAACTCTATATGAGATGCTGAAAGAGAAGCTGCAAAATCCTGGACACTTTTGAGGAAAGCTGGCTTGTGCCAGCTGGTTCCTCACACAGTGCTCAGAGTTTATCTGGGAGCCTAACTACAGGCTCCTGCTGGAGTGTGGAAGGCAGCTCAGAGCTGTGGGCTGCAAGCCAGCCCGGGGCTTCCTGCAGCCACAGGAGACTTCACCCACAAACCCACTGCCAGCAGAGCAGGCTGCTGCCTCCCATATCAGTGCCCACTCACTCCACAAAATGACTGCTCTTACCATTCAGAAATGCATTTACTTTCATTATCTAACAGTGGGATTTGTGTTTTACAAGACTAATTCAAACTAAAAAAAGCACAGGAGCTAGCTAGCTACAAGGGTCTTCAAAACTGTAATTTTGAAAATATTATGTCTCAGCATCAATGCCAGTTTTTTTACAATTTTATCAGTATCAAACTTAGCAACGAAACAAGCAGTTCACACTCATTACCACAAAGTTCAAAATACAGAAGTGATTTACATCACACTTAATGATCATACTTCCTGTTTTCAAGCACTGACTAAAAAGCAAAAAAAAAACAAAAAAACCAAAAAAAAACACATAACATTGCAAGATGCTGAACAAGGAGTTTATCTACTGTTCTAGATTCCAATCCCTAAAAAATAAATATCCCTGTTTAGAAATAAGGCCTCAAGCCAGCAGCCATATCACACAGACAGGCAGAGGGGCAGTTCCACTGAGGCACTGTACAGTGCTAAACAAAATCCTGCATGCAAAGTGTACAATGTGAGAAAAAAAAGAAAGAAAAGAAACCACACAAAGTTCAAGGAGAACTTTTGGAACAGATTTGTATCACTTCAATGTTTACAGTAATTTCTGTATTAATAGTGTTGCCATTTCTCTTCCTTCACCTGGTGTTTCCAATATAAACTACTAATAGACCAATTTACATTACTTTCTCACATAATAAGTAAAATTTTAACAGTGTCTCAGAAACTAAGGGATAGTTGCCCCAAACAATTAAAATTAATTTTTGGAATGACCTGCAAAGGAAGTAGTATAAAAACTCCTCATATTCCTAAAGCACTGATCAGAATTTAATTTTCCCCATCGCTTGTATCATGATATGGATCTACAAGAAATACCTGCAAGAAGCCACAACCCAAACAACAGACTATGACAGAACATGTTCAGGAAACAAAATCAGAACTCAGGATGAAGAACCAGTTGAAAAAAGAATTTGTTACTCTTCTAAAACTAATTACCAACTTCATGCACTTTTAGAATCCTTCACTTAAAAAAGTAATCTATACTAGAAGATAAACTTCTATTTCAGATGAGATGAGGGCTCATCATTATTAAAGCAAGGTAAATGTAGGAGCAACACAATCAGAATCAGCAGATGAATGCATCTTCCCACACCAGGACAATAATTTCTTTTCTTCCTCAATTACCACACTTCTTTTCAGGAACAATTCAACTTAGCTAAAATGCCAGTGTTTACACAGTACTTACCATATATTCCACAGCAAATTAATAGCCTCATTGGCTATGTCTTCAATATAATTTTTGTTAATCCCTCTGCATTTCTTTGGAGAGTGCTGGTTAGCATCCAGTCCAGTGCTGCACTACAACCAAACAAAAGAACAAGGGCTGGGAAACAATCAAGCCACAAAGAGAAGCAAAACTTTAAAGTATCAGCACTGAATGGAGAGATCCTCTCATGCAGTGTTTATTACCAGAACACCTGACTAATTTCCTTTCTTTATGAAAACTTGAATGCTTGGTAACTTTTCTCTTGTAGAAAGACTCTTACAGTACTTGCTTTGCAGTTAGTCTTTAGAAGCACTTTCTAATAAAAAAAAAAAAAAAAAAAAACTTGGGAATTTTAGAACCTGAAGTACTGTTTCTTGCTAATAGTCTGTATGCAGTTGTCAACAGCTGTTTCTAACCACAAAGATTAACTCAGCTAGTACCTTACTATGCTCGATAGTAATGCTATTACTCATATTTTAAAACGGGGAAGAAACATATAGAAAATGATGATATTGCTCAAGGTTGCTCATACAAAGACAGCAGGTAAGAGAAATCAATGCAATATCCAAACTGCAGTGCAACACCTGGACCAAAGAAAGAATACAAATTCAGTACAGGTTATTCTCCACTTACAACCCAGCTATACATCCAAATATCCACTGAGACAGAATTGCTCAGCAAAAAAACCTCACTAGAATAACGCTGCAACATAAATGAAGGACCTTGATTCTCACTGACAGAATAAACTTAACTGACATTACAGACCCAAAATCTCCAGACTTTTCACTCAAAAATCATCCTAGGCAGCAAACCTCACCACGGATGCAAGTTAGCTGGCCAGAAGCCAGTGGTTAGAAATCTCTGGAGTAACTTCTGTATCACTAAACCTATCAAAACATGCTTTTAAAAGATCTTTCAAGTCCCTTATTGTAATAACAGCTATAAAAACAGAACTGTTTTTCTATATGGGACAATTCAATGTCTAGATCAGGTTTAAAATCAAAATAAAAATAAGCACACCTCTTTCAGAAGTGCAACCAGGGGTGTCATGATGTCGTTGGTCACCATGTCATCACAGACATCAAATCCTCCACAAGCACTCAGATTTCTAGGGAAAACAAAAAAATTAATGCTTTGGATGAAATACAATACTTTCCAAGAATGTTTCAAAAACCCCATGCCTTTGATATTCTTCTCTAAAGGTTATGGTACTTTTTGTTTGAAACTCAATTTGCTTAAACAATAGCTTTAGTCTTCTACCTCACTAACACAAGAGAATAACTTTGGAGTTAGAAAAAACATATGATTTCCATTTATTCATTAAGCATAATTAGAAAGCTTATCTGTACTAAAACATCACAACACAAAATGCCATCCAAACTGCACTCAAGTTCTCTCTATTTCCTCATAAAGCCATATATTTCATAAAGCCTACTCCTGACATGTAACTCCCACAGAACGAGAAAAGCCCCTCTCTCACAGACTTCAGCTGATGTAGGCATAGTTCCTCAGACCAGAATGAAAGCAAGAGAGGCTGGCACTCAGTTCACAGCTGCCAGCACAGAACCCCAGTTTTCCCCCCGTGCCAGGATGCCCCATTCCACCCGAGCAGTAGGGAGTGCTTACCGGAGAGCACCTGCAGCTGTCTCCCGAACAGCCAAACTGTGATCCATCAGCAAGGGCCCCAGACAGCGCACCACGTCCCGCTGCACGAAGGCTGGGATGACGCGCTGCTGCTGCAGCAGCTTGGAAATACTGGCACAGGCATACTCCCTCACTTCAGCACTGGGATGCTGCAGCTGCAGAGACAGACAGGGCACATCAAACTGAGGGAAAAGGGAGTGGGAGGGTTTTACTGAGTGAAGAGATTGATCAGGGCCAGCACTGTGGCTCTTGTTTTACTGCTCCTGAATGGAAGCAGGAATTTTTAACTTCCATGAAAGCTTATAAACCCTTGCCTGGGTTATGTGTGTTAACTTTATGACTAGATAAATGCTATTCTGGATATTTGACGAGACAGACATAGTCCGGACACAGATCTGACACTAGCTGGCACTGGTGAGACCTCAAATAGAATGTATTAAAAAAAAGACTGAAGTGGGGTGGAAAATATCATCAATAAAGTATAACAGACATAACACTTGTCACCATAAAGAAAAGCTGAAGAAACATAAAACACCAAAATAAAATTTATAGCCTTCAAAGTACAAGCATCTGCATAACAGCAAGAAACAAGTGTTCCCTACATTCCCCAAGACAATGTTGACACGTGCTATAACAGAGTTTTAGGTGAGAGACTAGAATTACAATTGCAAAAATAACACAGTAGAAGTGCATGTCCTGGAAGGCCACGGGGTTTGCTGAAAACCTAGCAGGTAAACATCTGCTGAAGAGCAGAACCGAAGAGCGGTAACATCAGATCCTGCCTCTAAAGAAAAAGGTGTCTCAGCTCATCCTCACTTGGCCATTATTTATTCTCTCTACCCCTCTCTTTCCTAAACAGGTTAGTCCAGAAGAATAACTAATCAGTGATCTGTTCAGTGAATTAGGTTGGGTGAAGCGAGCAAAGGGGACTGAATTTCTTAAAGGAAAACGGATTTTTGCTTCTGACTCTAAATTCACACTCTCAAAAGGAGATGTACATCAGTTTTCACCTGCAATACTTAAGCCAGAACTATGGCCTACAAGTGGCCAAACCCAGTCTTTTTCAGCATTTTCTATCCCTCGTTCCTTACTTATGGCTCTTGAACACTTGGCTCTGACCACCCGCAGAAGTCTCCGGCCGGGGAGACCAAACGCAAGCCCCGCAAGAGCTGCGTGGCAGCCCCCGCAGTGTCGAGGGCACGGAGCTCGCCCGCAGCGCGCAGGGCAGCGCGGGCGGTGCCGGTGCCGCCCCGCCGGCCGCGCGGCCGTGACGCCGCGGGAGCGACGGCGGGGAGGGGAGGGGAGGGGAGCGGAGCGGAGCGGAGGGAGGCGCGGCCCCGCGCGGCTGCTAGGCTCCTTCCCGCCGGGGGCGGGACCGCGCCCGGGCCCTCGCCCGGCACCGCGGCGGGGGAAGCCGAGGCCTCGCCCCCCACGCCCGGCCCCGCAGCCGCCGCCGCTCCCCCGGTCCGGAGCGGGGCTCCCGCCGAGCCCGCCCGCGCCCGCCGCCCGCACCTTCTCCAGCAGCTCCGCCGCCGCCTCCTCCTCGGGGCCGCGCTCGCCGTCGCGCTGCTGCGCGGGGTCGCGGGGCGCCCTGCGGAACCGCCGCGCCCGGCTCTTGCCCATGGCTGCGCTCGGCGCCGGCGCGCCCACGTGTGCGGCCCCGCGCAGGCGCCG